ATCTACTTTTCCAGCCATACTTGAAATTTAAAATACAATTTTGGTTTTAGCAAAAATGTCAAAATTTGAAATATGACATATGAATTCTGTTCAGAGTGTCATTTTCTATCGAATAAAGTAAAAATATACCGATGGTGCTATTTAAAAATCAAAAGTTGTAGTAATTTCCGGCGAAACAGGAAGTAACCAAAAACAATTAAATACGTCAATCAATCCTAATTTATGTCATATACTAACATACCAAATCTCGTTTTATTATCTGAAAAAATAAGCCACTTTTGAGACGCACCCGGTATACCCGAGTGTCTAGTGATGATACTGATAGTACTGGTCTTGGTCTTGCAAAAAATATAAGAGCACGACTAGCCCTTGATTTGCAATGAGTTGAGAAAGCAGTGAATATTTAATATATTCATTTTTCATAAACTTTTAACTTTAACCTTTTTAAAATTAAAATCCAGTGTTAGAAATTTGAATTTATCATGACATTTGTTAAGGAATATTTTTGGTCTTTCTCATTACGACATTCAGCAAGTTAATAGCAAAATTAATTATTGGCTTGGTAAAACGTAAAAGTAAACGTGACTTTTTTATCCTCGTTTGTATAGGAATAAATTATTTTTTATTATTATAGTCGATTTACTGCTTGGATGATTTGATTTTTAAAAATAACTTTCTATTTATGCACGTCCAATACGACGACATAATACTGAGGAGTATTTATTATGCTATAAAAGTAGCAAAACCGGATAAAACTTAGCTGAAGGCGATGAAAAGTGTGACTAAATCGTTTATATATCGTGCCATTTCATTTTTTTTATTATTTTCAAGGATAACTCATGTTTGATATTGTCACGGGATGTTTTAGATTTTATTTTATAAGATATCCATGTAAATCGAGCCTTTGATTAACAAGGTAATGCTAGGTTGTTTTATGTACATTCATAAATCGAAGACTTCACGTCGCTAACTAGTGCGATAATCATTAAGCAGGTTGAATAATTTGCTGACTGATAAATATTGAGATATTTTTTCATGTAATAAAGCGATAGAGCTTTATTTTATCATTATTTAATTTTTTTGCTGTTTTATGTTTCTTTAATTATTATATTCTAAAAAACTTATTTTGCCTTTCTTAGAGCAGAAACAAATTAGTCTAAAGATTTACTCATTATTGGATAGCGTTTGCACTATTGTAAACTCTATTGAATATTCAGTATTGAGATTTGAAAAAAACTTTAAATCTTTTGTTAAATAAAAGAGAAACTGCAGTAGAAAAGTCCAATAAGTGGAGTTTGGGGTTAAGACAAATTGCACTAAGGAATGAAGTTAAAAAAGCTTACAAAGTGCAAAAACTTCTGCAATACGAAACAAATGCTTTTAGATTTTTACTTTTTTGTATCTTCTACACTTTTATTTTTAATGCTTTATCATTGCCAACATATATTTCAGTGACGAGCGAATACAAGAACCAGATCAAGTTTTTTTTTGTTTGGGAGCCACCAGATTTTTGTCTGTATTTCCATCCATTTTAGTGCCGTAACCATAGTAATATCAGTGATTAAGAAATTATACCTGGAAAAACGGCAGTTCTAAAAAGTTTTCTAAAATATACAATAAAATTTAAAAGAAAATGCACGATTTTTAACACCTCATGGACATGTTCCTGGGGGTCGAAATATACTACATACCACTAAATATATTTACACTTATTTAAGACTCACCCTGTATACAGGGTGATTCCTGTAAGTTGGTCATGCTTTCAGGGAATGATGGGGGACGTCGAAATATTAATTTTGATATAGCAGTCGGATATAGGGGTCGGAGGGTGTTAAAGTTTTTGAAAAATTAATGATATTCTTTAATAGCTTTTTAACAGTTGAAGGTATCGCTATAAAATTTTATTATAAGAGTCTACCTAACAGAGACACTTTAAATGTAAAACGAAGAGGTTTTAGTTTCAACCAGTGGCGTAGATGTGATACGCATCGGGTAATTTTTTCAAAAAAAAATAGTACGCCACTGATAAAAATAAATATTTCGGAGTTTTTTTTATTTACTTGATTTATTTTCAAGAAAAAATGTCTCTTGCAACTTTCTCCTATCTAACACCATTTTGTCACAATTTAAAAATAAATAAATTTTTAAATGAGAACCTTAAATATGCGAATTATTATAATTACCTTAAAACTAAGAATTTTATTATTAACAATAAAAAAATTCTAATTAAAATTTACAATAAGGAGCTAAATTTTCAAGGAGCTAAATCTTGGCCAATTTAAATTCACATGTAAGTGATGAAGGGAGCTGACGGTGCACATGTGTTTTCTGCCCTCTAGTTATAACAATTCGCTGTATTTAACGTTCTCATTGAAAAATGTTTTTATTTTTAAATTGTGACAAAATGGTGTTAGATAGGAGAGATTTGCAAGAGACATTTTTGCTTGGAAATAAATCGAGTAAATAAAAAAACTCTAAATCGAGTAAATAAAAAATTGTATTTTTTATCAGTGGCGTACTATTTTTTTTGCAAAAATTACCCGATGGCGTATCACATCTACGCCACTGGTTGAAACTAAAACCTCTTCTTTTTTACATTTAAAGTGTCTATATAGGTAGACTCGTATAATAAAATTTTATAACGATACCTTCAACTGTTAAAAAACTATTAAAGAATATCTTTAATTTTTCAAAAACTTTAATACCCTGTATCTTGCGTAAGAGGCATTTCCGACCCATAGTGTGCTATATCAAAATTAATATTTCGGGGCGTCCTGTATTATTCCCCGAAAGCATGACCAACTTACAGGAATCACCCTGTATACATATATTGAATCAGCATTTCTTCCTTTAAAATTTTATACAAAAGTCAGGAAACACTATTTGCAGTAAATTAAAACAATAACTTTTAATATCATAATATTTATTTGAATGATTCAATACAATAATAAATAATATAATAACAAATACAGCAAAATTCTGTATATTTGGACAAAAAAAAACTTTTTACGAATATGGTTTAGCCTTGATGGTTGATGGCAACCCTAAATCACATATTTGCTGCCAATAATTTTAAGATTTTTTTATATTATTTTCTATTCAACATATTAAGATAAGTAAATAAAAATTGTAGATATATTTTTTTTTCATTATTATCTATAAAAATAAGATATAAATAAAAAACGTGAAAAAAATGCAAGACCGCAAAAAGCATGCTGGGTGTTGGTCTTGGTCTTGCAGATCTAACGCTAGTTTTGGTCTTGGTCGTGTTTTTTGTGTAAGATCAAGACCAGTCTCACTCATCACTGTTATTATCACAAAAAAATTCTTGCAGTTGTTATTAATGTTAATCTTGGATTATTATGATAATTTCGATGTTTTCGATGATATGGATCAGTGTCATCGGTGTCAGTAAATATCAGTTTCAAATATTGTTTGTTCTGGTAATATTAATATTCTTTCGATTTCTTCCTTCCTGGATTTTTAAATTTCTCAATTATCTATTTGAGCCCAGCATACTTTGTTCTTAAGTTATTAAGTACTAGACTCTATAAACTAATTATAAAGAAAGAATGTGCTATTTCTTAAACGATTTAGATGTAAACCATATTTTTTATTTAATTTTGTAATATTTAAGGTTGTCTCTACCAATTCAGGTCCGCATTTTCCGCTTCTAAATTAACAACTACGAGATTAAAACAGATATCAATCTTTCAGTACCTAAAAAGGAATAGGTTTATTATAAATAAAAAATAGCCCATTTATTAAACGGTTTCGATGTAAAACAATTTCTTAGAAGGTCGCTACTAATAAGCTTTTGTTTCAGTATCAATTTAAGGAAGTGCTAGACCAGAAAATATCTATTTTTAACTAGCTGATATAAGTTGGTACGGTATCTATTTTGAAATTTAGTCCTTGTTACCATTGGAGCGTTCACTACTTTTATGTACCTCGTAAATTTCGTAAAAAGAATTTATGATATGTTTTTAACATCCTAATAATTTCAAAATATGATCTAATTACTTCAAGCAAGGATAAATTGTTACTATTAGTTAGTAATGTTAAGCAACTAAGAATTACACTTCTCAGTTTTGTCCTCGTACTACATAAAAGGAATACAAATAGAGTAAGTCTTGTCTTGCTGAAATCCGTGCGACATACAAAAATAAACGTGGCAACGCCGCTCCGCACCGTCCTCGCCGCGACTCGCCCCACCAATGTCATTATAAGTTTTGTCGTCAACGAGGTTCGTGCGTCGAGTGTTTTTGTAAAGTGTTTTTACGTGTTTACGGCGAAATGGGTAGAAACAGGTCCAAAATGAAATTAAAAAGAGGCTGAAACGGAAGCAGAATCGCCTAAACCAACTTTGGGAGCGTTTAGAGGATGTATCAAGTAAGTATTATCAGTTTTTTCATAACCTAGGTAAAACAGTGCACATGGAAACGGGGGAGGCGTGTTTTCAGTAAATTATCGCCTCTATACTCTCTGGTTAACCATACTTTAAATAAAGAATTGCACAACTACGTGTGAATTTTAATATCTAACCTAACCTAACTCCTTGACCCAGTGGTCTTGCGAAGTATGGTTGACAGTAATATTTTGTTTGAAGGCCCAGTGGTCAACAAACTTAATAATTATGCGTTTCATTGCAGGCGATGACGCATCATCCTCCGGCAGTGATGATTCTTCCAGTGAAGATAATCACTCTGGTTCCGAAAGGGAAGGCGGAGCCCAGTGAATCTCCCGCTTGAACCCATCGATAGCCCGGCGATAAATGCAGGCAGTAACAAACCAAACACCTCGGACGCAATAATTACCTTATTAGGTATATACAAAAGTTACCCAACAGTTTGGGAAACAATAATAAATGTAATTATTTATTATCATAGGTAAACAACCAAACCTTACCCAACAGTTTGGAGAAAAATTTCACGAAGATATTGTAATGCGCTGGAGCGAATTTCTAAGAAAAGGGGTGAAAAAGATGACAAAAAGCTTTGATCGACAGTTACCCTATCGTAGGAAACTGTAAAGAATTACTCGCACCTAAACTAAACATGGAAATTGCAACATGTTTAAACGAAAGCTTGAACCGACAAGACATGTACCTTAGTAGGATACAAGACGAAATTGGGGTAGCCATCTCCGCTTTAGGGAAACCTTTAGGCAATTGCTTCCCTAATCCAAGCGAACAGTCTAATGAATTCTTAAAACCCAGTATTGATGCGGCGAAAATCTTAACTAATGTCCATCATAGCATATCTACACACAGGCGCCATGTTATTCTACCTCATCTGAACAGCTCGGTGAGGAAGATCATCGAAGACTACCCAATAGACGAGTTTTTATTTGGGGACAAGTTTGCGGAGAAACTGAAGTCATCCAAGGAAATACAGAAGACGTCCTCAGATCTTAGATTACAGAACCCCTCCACCAGTTCAAAAACTACCAGCGCCCCAAATACAAGTCCAAATACAAGAACCAATGGAACTACAAAGCGAAGGGTCGGAACACCCAAGGGGTCTCATACAACCAAGCCCGGCAGAAAAGAAAAAGGACCCAATATTAATGGTGAGCATAAAAAATGATCCGCACATGTGTGTCGGCAAGACTAGATCTAGATTACATTATTGGGAAATGCTGACAAGTAACCCTCAAGTTTTAAGTTGGTTAAGGGGAATTAAATTTAACTTCATATCATCCCCCCCTACAAGACATTCCATTAAAGAACCTAAGTTAACACGGTTAGAACATGAAAATTGTAAAAAATTAATTGACAGCATGTTGGAAATGGGCGCCATTTCCCGTTCAAAAACACAATATGTTTCTTCATATTTTCTAAGACAGAAAACAAACGGTGAGTACCGTTTCATACTTAATTTAAAATCTTTAAACTGTCACTTAGAAGCCCCCCACTTTAAACTTGAGGATTATCGCACTGCCATTAAATTAACATACCCTGGTTGTTTTTTTACCCTAGTAGACTTAAGGGATGCATATTTTTCAATACAGATAAATGAAAAAATATAGGAAATTTTGCGGTTTTGCTTTCAAAACGAACTATTTCAATTTAATTCCTTACCTTTTGGTCTCTGTTCGGCCCCGTTCATCTTTACAAAGATAATGAAGCCCGTACTTCATTTCCTTAGAACACGTGACATAATCTGCGTTTGTTATTTAGATGATTTTTTCCTCATCAGCCCTACTATGGAGAAAAGCAAAAAAGACATCACCCTAACCCTACAAGTGTTGACAAATCTTGGTTTTAACGTAAACTACGATAAAAGCCAGTTAAATCCCAATAATACTTGTTGTTTTTTGGGCTTTTTCATAGATTCGAAAAACATGCGTCTTTCGCTACCCTCAGAAAAAAGCCAGCTAATCATATCTTTAATCAATGACGTGTTGTTAATACGTATCTGTTCCATAAAGCTTTTCGCTAAAATAATTGGTCACTTAGTAGCAGCCTGCCCAGCAGTAAGGTACGGACCACTGTATATAAAATCTCTCGAGGGGGGAAAAGTATAAAGCCCTAAAGAGCGGAAAATCATACAATCATAATATATCCTTATCGCGAGGGGTCAGATCAGACTTGAGTGGTGGCAGAATTCATTAGCATGTTCATATGTTCCAATTTTTCAAGGCAACTACGACATCACTATTTTCACAGACGCTTCAAACAGTGGTTGGGGCGGTAGTTGTAATAACGAGAACATTCACGGTTTTTGGCTACAAGAAGAATCAAAAAATCACATAAACTGGTTAGAATTGGCAGCAGCTTTTCATTGTTTAAAAGCGTTTACCAAGTCTTTTACACATATGAACATACTATTGAAAATAGATAACGTCACTGCCATAGCATTAATTAATAAAATGGGTAGCGTTAGACACAGAAAACTTAACACTATTACCAGACATATCTGGCAATATTGCGAATCAAAAGGCTTATATATTTTTGCAACATACATTAGCTCTAAAAATAATAAACAGGCAGATTCTGAGTCTCGCTGTAAAAATATTGATACGGAATACGAATTAAATAATATTCATTATAAACGCTTATGCCGCATTCATGGAACTCCGCAAATAGACCTTTTTGCCAGTCGAATTAACGCAAAATGCGCAAGGTATAATTCTTGGAAACCGGATCCGGGAGCATCGGGAACTGATAGTTTTACCACATGTTGGTCACAGGATTTCTTTTATGCCTTTCCCCCATTTAGCCTAATATTAAAAATGCTTAATAAAATCATAATGGACAAGGCAGAAGGTCTAGTCGTAGTACCATGGTGGCCCACACAACCTTGGTTCCCCCTGTTTAAGAGATTGGTTGTGGGGAAAATATTATTCTTTAAGCCAAGTAAAACCTTACTTTTATCGCCTTTCAGGAAACCTCACCCCTTATGGCGGACAATTACCCTGGCTGCCGGCCATTTATCAGGGAAGCCTTTGTAAAGAAAGGGTTTCCCGAAGAGGCCATTGCATCCATAGTAGCATCAGTAGCTGACAGTACACTAAAACAATATGACACCTGGTTTAAAAAATGGTGGGGTTTCTGTTGTGACATAAATCACGATAAATGGTCCTACGACCTTACTACCTTTATTAAATTTCTAAGTATACAAGTAGATAACTCTAACTCTTATTCGTCCATTAACGCGTGCAAGTCAGCATTATCCTTTGTACTCCCCATCGACACTCGAGATGAGGGAATAATTAAAAGATACTTAAAAGGCATTTATAACCAAAGGCCACCAAGGCCAAAATACAATACAACCTGGGATCCTCACCCAGTACTGAGTCTGTTAGAAAATATGTTTCCTTTAAGTACTTTATCCTTAGAAAAGTTATCACATAAGTTAGTTACTTTGTTAGCAATTATTACGGCGCATAGAGTACAAACATTCTCAAAAATTAGATTAAGTTATATAAATCAGTTTGATGATAGGATCGAAATACTGATCCCAGATACCGTCAAAACTAGCGGGAAAAATAAATTTCAACCTGTGCTAAAGTTACCATTCTTTAGAGACAAACCAGGGTTGTGTTTAGCATCTACGGTTTTATTTTATCTAAACACAACTAAAAGCCTCCGCGCCGATAATAATGATTATTTAATACTGACACACAGGAAACCTTATCATACGGCCACAAGCCAAACGATAAGTAGATGGATCCGCTCGACTCTAAAATCCGCGGGTGTTGATACAAGCAAATTTTCAGGCCACAGCACTCGGCATGCCTCAACTTCGGCCGCATACCGAGGCGGAGTTAACATTGAGGAAATAAGAAAATATGCAGGATGGACTGAAAAATCAAACGTTTTTAATAAATTTTATAATAAACCAATATCAACACCGGCGGATCTCTTTGCAAAAGGGGTCCTCCAAGGATCCAGTATTACCTGTTAAAATAAGAGTTCCTTACTTTAAGATTTAGTGCGTTCTGTTCCTTGTAATTACGTTATATACCTATATGTTTGTTACAATGTAAACATACAGTTTAATGGTTATATTATTATATTTCGTTACACACCTTTAAAAGGTGCCTTTCCTATAAATATATACAAATTACTTAAGTATATATTATACAAAGCTTATAGGGAATAAAGCTATTTTCTAGAGATCGTCTTTTCATTCTCTAAACAGCTACTCTATTTGTATTCCTTTTATGTAGTACGAGGACAAAACTGAGAAGTGTAATTAACAGATCAAATGACTTACCTGTAGGAAATTTGATCCTAATTACACGATCAGTTTTGTCCGAAGTACTACATAACCCACGCCATCTTATAAAATAATAACAGTGATAATTAATATTATGTATGAACCACATCACAACTATACCTAGAGCCTTGGTCACTCCCACCCCTCACAAGCCGATCTCTTATCAAAACTTATAATGACATTGGTGGGGCGAGTCGCGGCGAGGACGGTGCGGAGCGGCGTTGCCACGTTTATTTTTGTATGTCGCACGGATTTCAGCAAGACAAGACTTACTCTATTTGTATTCCTTTTATGTAGTACTTCGGACAAAACTGATCGTGTAATTAGGATCAAATTTCCTACAGGTAAGTCATTTGATCTGTTAAATATACAACCTTCATAAAAATTTATTTTCATTTGTTTGTTTGTAAACTTTTAAAAGTTAATTAATATTCTGACTCTATACTCTGATTAGTCTGATTGTCTATGACTCTTTCAAAATTTTAAAATTTTTTTTCAGAGGTTATAGAATTTAGAATGAGTGGAAGAGGGGTTTATCACCGCAACCTTACAGATCTATTGTACCCTACTTTCTTTAGTTATAACTCATCATACATGGGGATCTTCCTATTGTAGGGGAGACAGGGTAACCTCTTCTGACAACAGATGTTCATCCTCCGAGGAGAGAACATCTACCTCCCACGAGGGTATACACCCTTTAACGGTTGGGGTTTGGCCCTCCGTGCCCTTCACAGTCGAGGAGCTGGTCTTTGGCTGAGGTATCCGTGAAGTGGAGGCTGGATAATATCTGGTCTCCACTTTTTTAACTTGGACTCTCCTTAGACCTGTTATTGGTGTTGTCCCGAATCTATAATAGGGGATATATGTCTTTCTCTATTGCCTCCTCCTGGGATTTGAGGTCAATTCCTACTGTGAGGACCTGACCATGGCCCTCCTCCCTCGAGTGGATGACTCGCCAACTCTATGTCCTTACATTGGAGTTCTGAGCCTGGATAAAGGCTCAGCAGGTAGGTGGTGTCTCTCGCCTTGCTTTTTTCAGAGGTTGATTATGTTTTTTAACATTAAGGTAAAAACAAATTATTGATAAAACAGCTGAAATCATAGAAGCAGCCTCCAGTTGACTTGGTTCAAGTACACTTTGACCATGTCAACCAGGCTTAAGTGTAACCTATTAAGTGTTGGAATTATTTACGCTCAAAATACAAGTTCTCCAGAAAGTTTTGATGCTGGAATTAGATGCTATAATAAAGTATCTAATATTTTCTCTTTACCGTTTGTATAATTTGAGTAAAATATATTCAAATACAATATCAATATACATTATCTGTGTTTATTTTTTTTTTATTTTCCCCTCGAGGACAATTTAGATAGAATATTTTAATTATATGGCAGGTATTTTCATCTTTTAAGTCGTAGTTTCTTTAACTATATATAAACGAACGTCGACATAATAGAAAATCGCTCGTTTGCGTTGTGCAAGAAGACTCAAGGTAAATCACTTTCATTCGATTATTATTAACATCCATACTAATTATTCAAACAATCGTTCTGGGTTAGGCTTCACCTTTTTTATCCAGCCGCTCATCTTACCTAACCGACCATCCTGATATATAGTGTACGTCGCCATCTTTTTACCTTTTTTCTCTTGATAATTTTCTCGCCGTGAAAAAACATCCTAGTTTCATGGTCAGCCACCTGTTCGACATGCAATCGCAGCGTAAATCGTTGCCTTAGAGGTGAGATGCGCTGCTTGGAGATGTGTTTGTTGTCTTCTCTTTGATTTAGCAATGACGCGCTTCGTATTTTTATTACGTAATATTCTTTTTGTCGCAATCAAGTCTTTGTTTTGTTTACGTTTTAATGGGGTATTTTTATTTAACTCTTTAATGAGCATTGTTAGTTTAGACCGTACGTAAATAATGGAATGATTGGATTGTTAGGTAGGTTGGGAGATTAAACAAAGACAATTTACTAATAAAAGATTGAGTTGCATTCAGATTACATTCACAGTTATTTTTAGGTCCAAGATGGATTATGTAGTATTTATAAGTTTGAATCCCCATCTTTTATTAGTGAACTTCCCGAATTATCTATTATTATTCTTTGGAGATTCATCAACCATAAGGAGAATGAAAAAAATTAAACTACTTTGTTCTTCTTGCGAGTCTTATTCGTCTATAGAATCAACACAAATGTTGGAAAATCATCCGCAGGCGTGACACACGCCCTTGATTGACAGCCACGAGACGCATGCGAAACCGCCGTACACAACCTCCGTCGTGGTAGATTTACCCCTTTGTAAAACAATTTAACCCCGTTATCTCGTGATAATCTACCCCGATGAAAAATAAGCTTGTGGCAACACTGGGTAACGATCTGAGCTATACGCAGCTAAGAAAATCACTATAATAAAAAAAACTGTACCAACCTTGATTTCATGCATATTTTTATCGATATAGGTTTGTAGCTTCCGAATAAAGTGTAGATAAAGCATCTAGCTCATTTGCGAGCTCAGAATTAGAATTTAGAGTTAGTAACTCGCATTTTCATTGGAGATTACTGTCATATTTATTTCGAACCAATAATCAACAAGAATATTCGTATAATTTAATAAAATTACTGTAAATCACTCTAAATAATGAATTGTTTGTAATTAATTGAGCAGTAATTATTTCTGTCTTATTAATCCGGTAAATGATGGAGATAAACAATTGTGTTTGATTAAAATGTTATTTTAAGATAAAACTTTTGTTAAGAACATTCTGAGAATTCGAATAATGAATTGAATAATGACAAGACAAGTAACATCTGTCTAAAAAAGACAGCAATTTACAGTGACAATTTGGTTATGTAAAATTTTGAGTGACAATTTTTATTATACCAGAGAAATACTGGTTGCCTAATGATTAACATTAATTTAAAAATAAATCCTCAACATGAATAATGAACAAAACATTTAAACAAAAACAGACCACAGACACAAAACAAATTGTTGGTTAGTAGCAGTTAGTAGTAGTCAGAGATAGAGATCTAGTAGTATTTTGGTTTAATGGCCACAGCTATCCGGCCGGGTAATAGAATTACCGTTTTTTAATAAAAATTAAAAAAAAAATTATAAAGCTAGAATAGTATACGGTTTTATATTAACTCTAATATTTTTAAGTTAATAAAAATAATTCGTAAAAGCATTCGTAAAAATAATGTATATCCTTCAAATCCTTCAATTTAATAGCTGTTAGAGAGAAGTTTCTGTTTCGAAGTTTAAATCGTTTTTCTCTGTAAAAGTCAGTTTTGTGACATCGTCATTTTTTCTCCTTACCCTTCATTTGTAATCATTAATAATAATAATTTCTTTAATGTTAATATCACTTTAGTAGTTATACTTCCACTGGATTTGGTCTTTTTAATCTATTTTCTTTTCACGCCTGTCTGCGTTCGCCAATCGATCAGATATCGATTGTATCGGCATTATAAGGATGCGGATCGCGTCGTTCAAAGAGAGCGCTCTCTAACGATCGCATCGCTAGGCCGCATCGTTCTCGATTACGGCCTATTTTCAGACCGAACGGCCATATATTCGCGTGGACGTCATCTTCGTTGGCTTTCGTGACGCGGAAGTGCGCGAAAACAAATAAATATGTCGAGCGGGCAAAAAAGACCGCAACCAATCGAAGTGGTGTAGGGTAATTGGCGAGAAATGACGAAGTGTGTGTCGAAGTTGGTTTGTAAGGCGTATGCATTAGACAGGAAACTGAAATTCCGGATATCAGTTAGTTTCTGTTGAAGGTACTCACTGGGACAGTGATCAGCAAACCGCGGCTCGCGAGTTGCATGCGGCTTTTTGTCTCTTTAAGCTGCTTTGACGAAATTTTCAAGGCACTCACGGATTAATATTTATTAGCCTGACTTCTAAGAGATGAGTAAACTTTTCTTAACCTTCCAGTAGGGAATGTCAAAATTACATGCAACCTCGTATATTCTTTAACCATTTATGTAGGGGATTTAGGAGGGGGTTAATCACCGCGACCTTACAGATCTATTGTGTATCCGTCTTTCTTGAGTTATAACTCATCGTACAGTCTCAGGGCTTTGAAAAGGCCAGTATCTGAAACGGCTTAATGGCTAGTTCTTTATCTCCGATATCAGTCGTATCAAAGTTTATAGCATGAATGGTTGTCGTCTCGGCAGCACGGCAGCACTCATTGATGAGGTGTTTTGGTGTTTCCCCATTTTCCCCACATAATCTGCATTCGCCGTTATTTCTTAGCTTCAATCTACTGAGTTTTTCGTTGACGAGACAGTGTCCTGTTAAAAACCCTGTGACAATCCAAAGATTGTTCTTACTTAAATCTGCTTTAACCATAGTGTGCAGGTGTCGGTGCTAGCACATAGTCGCAATCACGTCACTAAAATTAAAGAAATACTTTTTGGATGTCGAGGACTCAACAAGATCTACCAAAAGTGCAGCATTATCATGAAACATTACATGTGAAAAGAATGTCTAGAACTGATATTTTTTTGTCCCAGTTGTTTTGTCCCAGAAATCCCGAATTATGAAATAATGGAATACCCCAAGTGCACTGAATGGATATGTAAAATCTATAAACAATGGTTTAGCAAATAAAGCTAAAGCAGTTTCTGAATCCGAAAGTTCAGGCAATTAATAATATTAAAATAAACGGACAGCAGATGTACCACAGAAATTATAATAATAACAATAAATAACGCTTTATTGCGCAAAAAGCCAAAATAGCTTCATCGACAAAGTATTTACAAACCAAACAAAATATACAAATAATAAAAATATACAATACAAATCATACAATTCAAAAAAACTTAAGTCATTAAAATTACAAATAGAACTTACATGTACAATTGCAGAACACAAAAAAAGGCG